GACCAAGATGGTATGGTCTTTTTTTGTGTGGTCGCAGTCTCCTTCCATTGTATAAAAGTTGTTTGACCTTATTTTCGCAACTTGGTTATATTAGTAGGACGAGTTGTTGAATGGTGCTAAGAATGGCAAGAATTTCTGATGATGCCGACTACGATGCCGGCGAAACGTCTGGGAATGTACCGCGTCCGTCCGACTTTGGAAATAATTATGCATAAAATGGACTCAGGACAAGGTGCGTTTCTATAAGTCTTCCTACCATTATGACCAAGTTGCGTAAACAAGATCAAACAACTTCTATACAATGGAAGGAGACTGCGACCACAAAAAAAAACCACACCATCTTGGTCTTCATACTTTCAAAGTTATATTTGCTATATAAACGGTATTCACGCTATTTCGTTTAAGGTGATGCGCCATAGCTGGTGGTAGAATTTTCCCATGATGATTTGAATAGTCTCGAAAGTCTGCTAATCTACGAAAAGATTATATTTGAAATGACTGATTTACTGGTAGCTTTGCAGCCCTATTTATGAACGAAAAATTAGTAATCTCGTTGATTGCCATGACAAATATAACATTGCTTCACCTATAATCCTATGTGATATGGGAAAATGTCTGGTCTTCCTTGAAAATGCACATCTGACCTCTGGCCAAAAGGCACTCGTGAAAATGTGGCTTAGTGGAAAAGCAAGGGAACGTGAAATTCAATGTAATCGTCAGCTCTACTCATAGCATTGTGGGAAGATTCAACTTAAACGAATATCTATCATATTTTTCTGTGTTCATGACTAATTGTGGGTGGTTGTATGACTGCCTTCCTGTTGTCATGGTGCCCATCAAATGACATGACAGACGAAAGCTTTCCATGACTCGACCTTTTATTTCGAAGGAAAAGTTGGTTGGAGTGGATTTGTGAATTGGTCTCGCTGGAGGCTGAAAGAAGACCGACTTGGAGCAAGAGAAATTGGACTGTGCGAAGAAGTCCCTGGCTCACTGTCCTGTCACCCCGATGAATGCGTGTTAGGCCTTCATATGTTCTGTCATGACAAACATTGTCAGAGCGAGAAACCAGACTTTACGGAAAGCAGCACAAATATACTAAATTAAGCAGAATATGTAGCCGGTTGCAAGCCTACTCACTCTTTTTTTCGATCTTGGCTATGACACATTACAAAGTTCCAAAGTGATTAGTTGGCCAAACGGACGACTAAACTACTGTTGGGTGACATGGCAAAGATAGATTGGAAGAATTTATTTAGCTTATGAATAGATTAGATGGGATTGCTAACGTTATTATGGAGTTGGATAAGGAGGCTAATCTACCATTTCTAGATGTTCTAGTGAGAAAATAAAGAAATAACTTGCGTATAGATGTGCATAGGAAACGCACACATTTATGTTGCCCTTTTCACTTCTGTTCTCATCATAAATATGAGGTCAAATTAGGAATTATGAAGTTGAAGATAATAAGGAGTTTACATGTGGCAGGAAATCAGTGGATAGAGAGACATATTATATCAAAACAACAATCCATTAAGATTGATAGATAATTAAATTTAATACTCAGTTATCAGGGTGAAGAGATGAAAGCTTAGTATGTCTTCCTCGGAACCGAAGGGAGGCTAGAGACAGCGTCGAAAAACAATGCTTCACTAAGACCAACCGACAGGTGGCTCAGAATAATGCGTCATCATCTTCTGCTGGGGTTCATCTTCAACTTTCTTCATCACTCAGACTCCCACTCGTGAGGAAATTAAGCTCAACAATTATAACAATTTGAAGATATGAAGACCAAGATGTTGTGGCCTCTGTTGTGGTTGACCTCGTTGTCGCAACTTGGTCTTGTGTTCAGGACGCCCTGACAACAAAATTTACTTTAGAAGTGGGTTGACCTCGTTGTCGCAACTTGGTCTTGTTGTCAGGGGCCATGTAGAACGCACCTAGTCCGAAGTCGTCTGCCATAGTAGTTGTCATGATTCCCAGCATCTGACAATGTACTTGATACATTCCTCAACACAAATAATATGGGAGTGGGTTAACCTCGTTGTCGCAACTTGGTCTTGTTGTCAGGGCGACTATGTACCCTAGTCCGAAGTCGTCTGCCATAGTAGTTGTCATGATTCCCAGCATCTGACAGTGGACTTGATACATTCTCTAGTCCGAAGTCGTCTGCCATAGTAGTTGTCATGATTCCCAGCATCTGACAGTGGACTTGGTACATTCTCGGTCTGCCATAGTAGTTGTCATGATTCCCAGCATCTGACAGTGGACTTGATACATTCTTAAACGTTTCGCCCGCATCGTAGTCGGCATCATCAGTGAGCCTTGCCATTCGCCGCACCAACATACGAACTCGTCAAAGAGACAAATGAAGGCAATCCCTCGA